AAGATAGACAGTCAACGAGAGAGATGGAAAGAAGGAGAGAGAGAAAAAGAGAAAGAGAGGGCGAGAGAGAGAGACCTCGATAAAAGTCGGGAACGTTTTTTGAGCTTCGGCCGCGCCCCACGAAGCCGGGCAGCGGTGGCGGTGGCGGTGGTGGCCTGTGTGCCGGGGGCGGTTGGTTCCTTGTCAGTGCGCGTAAGGTCTGTTACGTTCGCTCTCTTCCCCCTCAATTATTTTAATCCCTGTGCTTCATTTCTCTCTTTTCTCGTGCGGATCTCGGGTGACACACACGTCCGCGGGTATTTCTGGCGTTGAGGTGGATTTCGAGTCGGAAATTCGGCTCAAATAAGGGCGAGAAAGAGAGGGAGAGGAAGAGAGAATGAGAGACATGGAGACTGGAGCCGTCACTCGTATCAGATTCTTTAGGGATTCGATATAAATTTCTGCGAGTTCATTCTTTTTTTTTCAATCTCCTCCTCCTCCTCCTCCTCCTCCTTCTTCTTTTTCGTCTTTCTTCTCTCATCTTTTCCTCCCCTTGCGATGCGTAGGATACTTGGCTTTTATTGCTGACAGATGATCCTATCTATCTCTCGCTCTCAAGGATATCTCAATCGCCGAAAAGTGATTATAAACATGTAACTCAAGGAGAGAATTAAGAGGGGAAGGGGTTGCGAGGCAGTGACACGAAGCCGACGCCCGAGCCAAGTGCACGAAATCGGACATGACTGACATTGCTACCCCGGTCGGCGAATATAATGATTCGTGCGGTACCATGCAACCTTTTTACTCTTGCAATATTTTCTTTTTCGTTTTTTTTCCCTCTAAATAGAGAGGGAGAGTTTTTTTTTTGTGGATGAAAATTTGTCTTTTTATTTTTTTTTTTTGTTTGTGTTGTTATTATTAATGTTTATTCTGTTTCCTTTTATATCTCCTTAAGACGTGCAGTTGTCTGAAACCGTGAGCGAGAAGTGAAAAGAAATTTGACGTAACAAAACAGAAATAACATTCTAGTTAATCTGGTATCTAGACCGTCGACTGCTCCCCTCTCCCCCTCCCCAACCCCCTCCCTCCTCCTCCCCTCCACTCCGCCACCCTTTTGCCCCCCCCCCCTTCACATACCCACCGGTACCTCCCCACCCACATACCCAGTACCCTCCCCCCCCCCCAAACTCTTACTTACTCTCCCCCCACCCCTTTTCCTCCCCTCCTCCACCCCCCCCCCATGCCCGATACCTCCTCAGTCACCCACCCTCGCACCACCCCCTTCCCCACTTCCTCTTCCCCACCCCACGCTCCTACCCACACTCGCACCCCCCCCCTTTACCCTCTCCCCCCACCGCCTCTTCTTCCCTTCCCCTCTCCTTCTCCCCTCCTCCCCTCTCTCCCTCCTCCCCTCCCTCTCCCTCCTCCCCTCCTCCCCTCTCCTTCTCCCCTCCTCCCCTCTCCCTCCTCCCTCCCTCTTCCCCCTTCCCTCTCCCTCCCTCTCCCCCCCCCTTCCCCAACTTGCAAGTAAGAACCCGCGTTGATATCATCTCCAGATTTCTTGGCTATAAACTT